GTATGTTTACATAAAATTCAGCATTCATTATTTGAGAAAAACAATATAAACTTGTTTTTCCTTTTACACAAAATCCTTCCCATGCAAAAATTTTCATTCAATCTTTAGGCATAAGGCATATCAGTCGTTGTCTTTTATGTTAGCACACCACAGTATTCCGGAACAGTTGGAAGGCAGTCTCATCTGAAAACAGAGTTTTGTCCCAATCATCATTAAGATGATTTTGGGTCTATTCTACCCGTTTACATTTATGGTTCACAGTCAGCATCAGCGTTGTTCTTGGAAAGTCTTTTTGATATCCAATTTTGGCTAAATGCCTTCTTACTGTCCTATAGGACACATCTACACCTTTTAATGATAATCTCGTTGACAGGGTCCTTGTTGAAATAGAAGAATCCTAGCAGACAAATTGGGCTAATGCTCTTGATGCATTAGCCATAATCTTTTTTGGGCGACCACTTCCTTTTACATGCTGAATCGTCCCAGACTCACAAAGCTTGGTAAGGTTATTGTATACAGTTGTGAGGGAAATTCCAGTGCATTGATGAATTTTTCTAGTCTTCTGAATACTTTGATTCCATAATTGTAAGATCGCTTGACGGTTAGTTTCTTGTCTAGAGGTCATCGTTTTTAATTAATTGATTTTTAGGAGTTTTTTAAAAAATTGAAGATATTGAGGGGAGGAAATGAAAAAAAAAATTATATATTTACTTATCTTATGATTATTTTCCTTTTTACATAGTTCGGATCAGACTTGATTTGGCTAAGATTTGCATCTTTTTATTTCTCAAAAAAATTCCAGTTTTTTTTGTCTCACACAGTATTATCAAACGCACTCGAGTCCACCCTTGAAGTGCTATTTCTAACAATAAATTAATCTTGTATGGTTTTGGTTTTTTTGCCAATACCTTCCTATATCCAATTCCTCGTGAAAGAGCTTATCAAAAAATTGGTAATTAGCAAGAAATACAGTTTCACAGCTATTCAAGAATACATGCAAAGGTTCAATTATCAGAACGATATGTAAAATTTGTTCTGGTATTTCCGATGAATCTCCAACACTGGCACAATGAGCTACAGCACGTTGTATATGAAGCTGTTCAGGATAGTCCATAGGTGCCACCAATACTCACGCTTCTATGTATGTTCTTACTCCAATATTATCTATTAAATGCTTAAGAGCATTTACATAATCCTTAGTTGAATGGAGGGATCCGTCTTTCAGATCAACAAGTTTCGTATTCTCCATGCTTCGATCAGTCTGACGTTATTCAATTCTGTCATTGTAGCTGTGAATTAAGAGATGTTCAACTCGTTTATTGTGGGTCTCTGATACAGACGACTTAATAAATGCCTGCTTTCGTCTTATATAACTAAGCCATAAATAAGGGAAGAAATATGAATTAGCATTACGAATAATAATACTTGCATCAATACTACTTTCGTTATGGATACTCTTTTCCTGATTTGGATTATAAAATGGAATAAACACGATTTCTGGCAAGGCTTTTAGAAGTATTGTAACAAAATGGGTGACTTCATGTGTAGTCGTATCATTGCGATGATATTCATGAATATTATGAAAATCGTTTACATTGAGAATAACCAAGTGTTCAACCTATTAAAAGTTATATATCAGTTGATTATTTACAAATCAAGGACTTAAAATACTCGTATGTCTAGTATACTTACATTTTCTGATAAAAACCTTTCCACCGTCATCGTATGTATTCCCGCATGCTGAGCTTTATGTCTTGCAATAGTCTCATGTCTTATTGTCAAGCCTGCATTAGCTAAGATTTCTATTGCTGATGAAGACATCCCAAACGAATCTAGTAAAAGCCCAACTTCTGCTTTAACTTCATTAATAAATTTATTGTTAAGTCCTGCTAGAAAATAACAAAATGAAACCAGTCTTGTCCTATTTTTTTGATTAGTCATATGACTTTTAGTTTGTGGATTAGTTCCGGCTACTAATTGGTCAAAAAAACCTTTCAACAGTGGTTCAGCTTTCTCAAGAATCGTCTTGAATTCTTCTGGATCTAGAATAGGTTTTTCATGATATACACACTGCCTTGTATACAAAACTCCCACCATTAGTTTAATCTTCTTACCAAGAGGAATCATCTCTAAAAAAATATCAAAACATCAACTATATAAAAAGCAATTTAAAATACAGCTACGAATAAAACTATTTATTTACCTAATTTCATTTCATCAAGCTCTGCACATACTTCGTGATATGTAGATTCCAGTTCCTGAAATTCAGATTCAGAGTAAAAAACATCACTTTGTAATACATATAACCTACTTTGAAATTCTCTTATATCCTCTTTTGAAATTCTTTCAGGTGGTGACATATAATTGGGTAAATTAACATATTCTGGATCATCATCAGTTTTGTATAAACAATGATGACACATCATTGCCCCTTGCGCTAGTTCAAAGAATCTGATTAATCGTTTCAGAGCCTTCTTGAATTTCTTTCCTTCCATATCATGTCGAGCTGTAGATAGATAAAACTCATGCTTTGGATGCGAATATACATTAGCATTAGTTTTAGCTTTTTTTTTTCATTTACTATCAGTCTGTTGTAATGTTTTCGGCATAAGGCTTTGCCAACTAAATTTAAATGTTGGCTTGAGCTTGGTATATTTATTTGCTCAGATACAATGGATGCACTATGCTGTTCATAATCACAAGTAACATCATCCTGACCCTCCAAATCACAATATTAAGCCTTTCTTTTTTTCTTTTTTTTCATTAAAAAGAGGTGTATCTTTGTGGTGGCTAGACATTTGCTTGTATTCTTTTCTTTTCAATAATTAAAAGATTTTATAATAAAAATTGACATAAAACCCTTATTAGCTAAGTTTCGAATTACCTCCCCATTTACCGAATTACTTTAACAATGTATAGAACGAAGGGTATATTTTAGAAATTTTTTTATCGCAACCCTTGCGAATTCATCCCTGTGGCTGCGAATCCATTTAAAGTTAGATGATCATCATTTCATATGAAAATTAATATGCGACGATCATTTTAAGATCAACCAATCAGATTTAAGCCCGCTATGCTATTTGTAGCAGAATTAAGGCTCGGCTCGAGCCGCAATAAAACGGCTCGCGAGCCAGTCAAGCCGGCTCAGACCGTGGCTTGTTTCGTGGCGCAGCTCAGCTCGTCGGCTTGGATTTTTCAAAAAAAAATCCAAAAGCGTTTCAGTTAAAGAAAACGCATCCGAAGTGTTAAACTTCGAAGAAAATCGCACTCGGGGCGTTAAACTTCGAAGAAAAACGCTTTTGGAGCATTTCCTTTGAAGAAAAACGTTACAGAAGCGTTTCTTCGAAGTTTAACGCACCGGTAGCGTTTTCTTCAAAGTTTACGCTACCGATGCGTTTTTCTTGCGAAGAAGCGCTACCGGTGCGTTAACTTCGAAGAAAAACGCTTTTGGAGCATTTCCTTTGAAGAAAAACGCTAACGGAGCGTATTCTTTCAAAGAAAACGCTATCGGTGTGTATTCTTCGAATCTAACGCTCCGGAAGCGAATTTTCTTAGAAAATAACGCACCGGTAGCGATTTTCTTCGAATTTTAACGCACCGGTAGCGATTTTCTTCGAGATTAACGCACCGGTAGCATTTTTCTTCGAAAGAAACGCTCCGGAAGCGTTTATTCTTCTAATTTTACGCTTCGGAAGCGTATTTTTCGAAGATAACGCACCGTTAACGTTTTTCTTCGAGAAGAACGTTCCGGAAGCGTTTTCTCTTCAGAGAAAAACATTTCGGAGACGTTTCTCTTCAAGAGAATCGTTTCGGAAATTTTTCTCTTAAAGAGAATCATATCGGAGATGTTTCTCTTGAAGAGAAACGTTTCGGAAGGCGTTATCTTGAAGGAAAACTCTCCTCGGAGCGTATTCAATCTCTCCGAAATATTTTTTAGGTAATAATGTGAGCCAAACGAGCCGGCTCGGCTTGTCACATTTTTGACTCAAGCCAAGCCGAGCCCGAGCCGAAATAAATCGGCTCGGCTCAAGCCAATTGTCAAGCCGGCTCGAGACGGCTTATGCGGAGCTTTAAGCAGATGCATATTTTCTATAAAATATGTGACATATAACATATGTGAAAAGATATTAAAATATACGCATATATTTGTATCACATATTATAATAATAATCGTTATACAAATTTCAATTACTTCCTAATAAAAAGACATACTACTATAAGAGAAAGTATTTATCAATAATAAAGTATATTTTGTTTGTTTAATTATTTCTTTAGAGAATAATTTTCAGAAAAAAGAAAAATAGTCATTCTTAATGATTTTTTTATTTTTAAAGATGCGATACTATCAATACTTTATTAATAAAATATATACATAACTAATTTAAAATTAAAAGAGTAAATACAAATAATAAAGACAAGTAATTATACAAACAATCTTATTAGAATAACTATTTCCCATAGTTCTATTTCAAACCTATTTAAATCAACTAATTATTAAAATTCTTCAATATTCTCAATGTAGAATATCTAGTAATGAAAATTAAATGAAAAATTGTCAGCACTATTCTAAGAAATCTATTCAGTAATTTTCAAATTTAAAAGCTAAAGTAATCCAAGCCTTTCAAATTTTTTTATGATCAATTTTTTATATTAAATTTTTATACACTTATATGAAATGCATTTATTTTATAGTATAATTTTTTTATAATATTTTGTTATATTTAAGTTATTGCTACTTCATTATTAATAAATAATTGGTTTTAAAATTTAATTATAAAAGTTATTTATTATTTATTTAAATATAAAATATATTTAGAAAAAAAAACTCAAAAATTTTGTTTAAATTAATATTACATCTAAACTTATTTTACTAAAATCACTTTTTAAATGATATAAATCATAAAATATTTTATAACAATTTTTTTTAAAAAAAAATATTTTAATATTACCACATTTGAAAGTTGATTTTTTTGATAGTTATAATCATTCTTAAAAAAAATTTTTAATTAATTCTAGTGATGAAGATACGTGCAAAATTCGAGTGTTAATTAAAGGATTAATCTTGTCTAACTACTAAATCCGACAAATCTATTTCTGTTCCAGGTTCAATACAATGCGAACTAGCCTTCTCAAATTGTCTTTATTCGTTTAAATTACCATATTTATTATTATAATTAAAATTCAGTTAGTGTTAATAAATTACATTAAAAAAAAGAATTATACTTAAATAATTATATTTACTCTGGATATCTAAGTCGATAAATTGGAGGCCATTCAGCCTCACCGAAAAGAATCCTAAAAAATTATAAATATAAATTGGTTAAAGATTCCTACATAATATATATATTTGAACTTACTTATCCTTAGAAGCTTCAGCTGACAGATAGAGATGCTCTAAATTACGTCTCTTATACTCTGATTCTGGTATCATCAAATTTTCAATCCACTTAATATCCAAAGAAAACAAATTAAAAAAAAATACACATTTTTATATTTACAAGAATAAATCTTAAATTGATAAATCAAATTACTTTTGTTACTGGATGTTTCTATATATATTAAAAAAAAGGAAAGTCAAAATGATTATTTAAATGTTAAGAGAAAGTTAAATACAAAATTTACCTCGCCATCTTTCACAAAGTAACGATCGGCCTGATACCATGCAAATCCTAGTATAAAGACGCCTATTGTTCTTCTCCAAATGGGAGCCCCAAATCCTTTTCGGTGTAAGAAATGTTAGTTCTCGAATAATGTTAAAAAACGTTCTCGAAGAAAATAATGACTTCATATACCTTCCTTAGGAAATCGATGAGAACTAGATTCCGTAGAAGTAGCATAACTACGAGAATTTAAAAGTATTTGTATTTCGCGCGAAGCAAAGAACGAAAGACGAGAGTTCCAAAATCGGTTCATATTCTGAATTTTGAAATATTTGAAAAAATTTTCACATATAGTGGTAAATCGGAATACACGTGATGAGTCCAGGATCGCGTGATAAATTTTTTAAAGTACAATTAGAGTCTATTTTAAGGTTCATGAAATTACTTCATCTTTAAGTCATGATCGACGAAAAAAATTTCATACAAAAACGATAATAAATAGCTTCCCGAGATTCAAAAATTTTGGTAGTTCCATATTTTATCACATAGTATCAAAATTCCTAAGCCCTGTAATTAGTGATTTTTTTTTTATATTCTCATAACAATATGAGAAATACTTTCAATTTAATAAATTCATTACGCAAGTCAGTTTCGAGCGTGCGTGAGTAATTCTGTAATTTTGTAATCATTAAATTAATATGTAAAAGTTCAATTATTGTTCTTAATTAGCATTATTTTGTATTCACAGGTGGTGCTCTTATTATTAGGTCATTTGTAAGCGTTGCTTCTCAAAAAGATAATGACAAAAAAGGGTGTGTTTTAAATCGTTATTTAAATAAAGCTATATATTTATATATTATATATTAAGAAGTTATCTACTGTACAACGGCCCGTATGAAGCTTAATGTGCACGATCAAGATAATTAAATTAAATGCGTAATGTGCAATTCTTTAAACTTTTTTTTATAAAAAAAAAAAAAAATCGACAGTCCGACTGGAATTGTCCTAATGAATCTCGGAGGTCCATCAACCTTGGAAGGTGTAAAAGATTTTTTGACGAGACTTTTCTTGGATCCTGATCTTATCCCTATTCCGTTTCAATCACATTTAGCGCCAATTATAGCCAAAAGAAGAACTCCTAAAATTATAGAACAATATGATAAAATTGGAGGTGGATCTCCTATTTTATCATGGACTGAAAAACAAGGAAAGGCGATGGAAAAATTATTGGATAAAATTAATCCGAAATATGGTACATAAAAATAAATTATAAAAACGTTAATAAAGTTTTAAAAAGTTCTAATTGAATTCCTCTTTGCTTAGCCCCACATAAGTCGTATATTGCTTTTAGATACGCGCCGCCTTTAACCGAAGATGCGCTTATACAAATGAAGAAGGATGGCGTAAAACGTGCAGTTGCTTTTACACAATATCCACAATATTCTTGTTCAACGACGGGAAGTAGTTTAAATGAGTTATGGAGAAAATCAGAAAAATTGGATTCTGAGAGATCAATTAAATGGAGCGTCATTGATCGATGGCCAACACATCCAGGATTAATAGAGGTAATCGTGACTTCTTGACTTTTTTTTCATTTCTTCGCCACGCTTTAAATCAAATTTTTAACTTTATAATTGAATTAGGCGTTTGCCCATCATATAAAAACTGCTATTAAGCAATATCCTTCAGATGTTCAAAATAAAGTTGTTTTACTATTTTCTGCTCATTCATTACCGATGACTGTAGTAAATCGTGGTGATACATATACTTCAGAAGTTGCAGCCACGGTACACAGAGTTATGGAACGTTTAGAATTCTCTAATCCATATCGTTTAGTTTGGCAATCTCAAGTTGGACCACAACCATGGATGGGACCACAAACAAATGAAGCGATACTTGGACTTGGCAAGAAAGGTCATAATAACCTTTTGCTAGTTCCTATAGCGTTTACGAGTGATCATATTGAAACACTTTTTGAATTGGATTTAGAATATGCTCATGAAGCTAAAAAGGTAAAGAAATAACAATGTTTTTGGATATATTAACTTTTGTTGAAATTTAAAACTTTTTATAGGCCGGAATTACGGGATTAAGACGCGCAGAATCTTTAAATGATGATCCAATTTTCATTGAAGCAATTGCAAATATTGTTAAAGACCATTTAATAATTGGTCAAGTTATGTCAACTCAATTAAAATTGCGATGTCCTAAATGTAATAAGGATGTTTGTCAAAGAGCTAGAGATTTCTTTGCAAACCAAATTATTTAATTAATTTAACGAATTTAATAAAGAGAATTTAATAATCATCGTAATCTTTCAAGAAAGTAGTTAGAATGATTTTTAATGACGGTTATTTTTTATCACAGATTGGTCCAGAGCAGAAGTAACATGTAATTTGTACAATAAAAATAGCAATACTATTATTAATTATTTTCTTTATTCGTTTCATAATATACTGTAATTAATATATATTATTACTTTATTATTTCTTGATTTGTGATATTGATACCAACATCTAAAAGCAATACGTACTGCTCTACTCTTTTTGTGATCCATTGATACATACATCTTTTGATTGACCTTTTTCTTCCTTCTTCACTATGAATGGTTGTTTTTGAAAGTATCTTTTGAAACAACAAAATAGTGTCAGATAATATGATCTGCTGATTTGCCACCTAGCTTTTCATGTAGTAATTCGTATCCATGTTGTTTTATATTCATGTGTTCTTTCCACCGTCATTTGATCATAACGTTCATCAATATAGATGCATCAAGAGTTTCGAAATTCTTTGCTACCGGTTTACAGTATTACCATCTTTCAATGTCATCTATCGTGTAACAATTTTTTATTGTAAGCTGAGAAAGTTTTAGTTTTAAATCTTTCCCATAGGATTTTTACCGATTCTTTAGTGAGCGCGTCAACAATGTATTGCCAGCACTGAGTACATGATGTGCGAATATGCACTAAGTTATGACTATAACCATCGCATTTACTAAGTGTGCCAATATATCTGAATCGATTCGACTAGTGTTTTGGGCGAAACCATCTTCTCAAATCCGAAACTTTTCGCCCAGTGAACTTCAGTTTCGCCTCATATATTCGAAACCTTAATTTGTAAACACTTTGTAGATCAAATTGAGCGAAACTAGTTTCTCCCGAAACATTAAGTGTCGATAAAGCCGTTATCATTTTATTAATCTCAAATGATGCGTATTTGGATATTATTCTTGGAGTTTGTAATATTAATGAAGATCGATCTTTGAAAATTCAGGATAGATTAATGATCGACATATTATTGTAATATTCGCTGGTTTGCAAAAATTTTTATGTGCAATTCCTTTGGTGGTGATACCATAATAAGTTTTCCAGTATCAAAATCATGATTTACCCTGAGTGGTTTACCATCAATTATACACCACACCATACATTATCTCTTTCTACAATTCCACCATAGTCTTCATTGTGAACCCATACCACATCAAAAGCATTCATCTCATCACGAGTAATCAGATATGGGTGCGGGTAACTGCTGTCATCTACCAACAGTTCGAAACCTTCCTTTAACAAAACACTCATAATATGGGTAGTATTCTATTAAAATTGAGGTACGGATCATATGATTTACTATGTCTCGTAACTCATATAATGGCCGAAAAATGTCTTTCCCGTTCCTAGGTTCCTATTTATGCAGAAATGCTTATGTTTCTTGCTTTCAAGAATGATTTCTTGGAATATTCATAACAACGGTGCTTATAAATATGTGTTTTGCTTTCTGTAAAGGATAATCACTTCATTGTTTAAGTCTACATCAATAGCGGTGCTCGCAAATAATGTGATTTTTCTGATATTTTTTTCCCGATCCTCTAAATAAATAGAACAATGTGAATCGGAATTCTGATAACTCGACTCGATAGTATTTACCTAATATTTTCCCTGCATAAGTTTTATGGAATGAAAAAAAAAGCGCAGAAACAAAAAAGGTTAGTGTCACGTTCAAGTTGACCCTCGATTTTCATCTAAATCCACAGACACATGACATGATAAAGAACAAAAACGTTTTCGCAAATATTATTAATGGCAAATATTTTATCTAACATACCTTTAAGGAAAAATTTTTAGAAGAGCTTTGGATTGTTTGAGATCAAGAGTATCGATGATTTCGTCTTTAAGGAAAGCTTTTAGAAGTGCTTTGGCTAGAGATATTGTTAAAGTTGTATATGTTTTGAGAAGCAAGAAAAATGATTATGGAGAGATTTATTATCAAAATTGATTAATTATGTGAGCGAGTTGTAAGTCTGAATAAACTTTTATTAACTTTATTAATTATTATGAGAACGCGTTTTGTAAGTCTAATCTTATTAGTCATCGTGAAATATCTTGATTATACAATAATTACATAATATCTTATTATCATCTAATACATATACATATAATTTTTTTTCGATGTCACATAAACATTTCAGATTCAGAAGTGAAAAATATTAAAGAAGCAAGCGAAATGTATAATGCTATCAAAGAGGAAAGGAGTCCCAGCATCAGATTATTTCTTTGCCCAAGATTAAGTAATTTCAAACCTACAGCATAAATTCGGGTGATTAGCAACTGAGTAAAAAAAAAAATAATCAATACAATAAATATTACAAGAAGAGTAATATGTCCGATTCATTTTGGAATATCTATAGAGCTGGGAAATTCGATTAACATCATGATGATATGTTCAGAAAAACTAGCCAAGCAATAAACCATCTTACTTTATTATTACTTTACAGAAAATACGAGTTCGTTTGATTGTAAATATCAATGATTTGAATAATAGTAGAGCTTGATTGGTTGCTTTACTTGCAAGACAAATAAAAAGGATTCATTAATAGGGATATCACCTTTTTATATAATTTTGCAGGATTAATTTTGGAGTACGCTTTGGGGAAAATTATGTTAATATGATCACTTCACGAAAATCTGATCAACGATCCATAATAAAATCTTTGATGCTAATCATATATAAAGATTATATTACATGATTTTACATGATGTTTAAAGTTAGGCTGGAAAAATTTGAAGTATATTTTGGGAAAACAAATTTGGTAATAAAGAAAAGGTGGTGTGGTGAAAATACAAATAAGAAAAAATTGTAAAACATTATTTGGTCCAAATAGTCAAAAAAAGCAAAGAAATGTATGAATAATCATTTATTCAAATAATCATTTAGCATTTAATAATTAATTCCAAACACATTACTAGTTTATTTAGCTGAATTTTATAATAAAGTAAATTTACCTTTACCATTAAATTTATATAGCTATTATCCATTTTTTATTATTTGATCACGTGAAATAAAATTTCATTTCCCAATATGACCAGGTAGGTTATAAGAACTGAAACATCAAGTTTATCTTGCTTACTGAGCATTTATTATGTTCAGATTGTAAATTCAATCACAACTTTCATATAAGACATAATTTATTTAATCCAAGTGGGATTTTAGATTTTTTTCACTATACAAATAATATTCTTAATATAATATATTGCCTTTTTAGAAGATTTCTTTATTGATGCGATAAATAAAATACATAAAATACATATCATGATAAAATTTTTTATACTAATATATATCAGTTATTTTATTATCTATATCAAAAATAATAGCATAAGCTTATTTTAATCTTTTTAATTCTATATTTGATAAATTATATTTTTAGATGAAGAGTAAAGTTCACATTCCTCATATAAAGAAGACTTAAAATTCTATAAAAAGCCAATATTTTTTTATTTTTTCTGAAAATATCTACTTATAACTTTTATTATATTTTAAATGATAAACCTTTCATTTAAAATTATATTATTCCAAAGATTAACATATAAAATAATTTGTGATTCACTAATAAAATTAATATTTTACATATTCTTTCTATTAGAAATTGCCAATATTTTTTATATAAATAAATTTGTGTATTTATATTAGATATGTATTTATAAAAAAAATATAAATTTTATATTACAAAAATATAAAAAATTATTTATTATAAAATAGCAACCATCTGAAATATAAATGTAACATAATATTCTTTAGATTTATGAAATTTGTAATATTTTAGAATATTATATTATATAACTATATAAGTTTACAAGTTTATAAGATTCATAAAACATTATAATAAAATCCTATATAAGATTACAAATTGTATTTTTATGTAATATTATAATCAAAAATTTTTGTAAGATTACACAATATTATAAAATTTATGAAATATTATAGTAAAATCTTATGTAGGATTATGATTAGTGATACCTGACGAAATTACCTTTCTTAATATAACGAAATTGACGAAACTGAAATGACGAAACTAGTTTTAAATTCTTTGAATTAAAATACATTAAAAAACATAATAATTTTATATTTATTCATATAAAAATATTAAAAAGACGAAACTTTTGATGAAATTACAATTTTTCAAAAAAGAGTTTAATCAGATATCATTAGTTATGATATTATAAGATTTATAAAAAATTATGGTAAAATTCTATAAAGAATTGTAAGCTTATAAAATTATGGTGAAATTTTACATAAAATTATAGGATTGTATAAAATTTTATGTAAGATTACGATCTTTTATCATAGATTTAAAATTAATGATACATAAAGATAATTCCCATAATTATTTTTAAAATTTTTAACTAGTTGCAACTTAAGTTGCAACACTTTGAGTTGCAACATTTTATAAATTTTTATATTAAAATAATTTACAAGGAGTTGTAACTTACCAAATTACAACTTCTTAATTATGATGCCTATCTTTAGTGATACATATATTACACTATTTAATTAAATAATGAGTATATACTTTATAACTTTTATTAATTTATATATATTTTTAGCTTTTAAGAAATATCAATTTTAACTATTTAATTACATATATTTTAATAAATTCCTGTGTTAAAAATTATAATTCAAAATTCTATGTATATATTAACATTAAATATATTTAATTCAGTATAACTTTTCATATTAAAAATATATAATTCAAAATCATTATAATAAAATAATATTAAATATAATTAAATTCTTATATAAAAATATATAATTCAGAATGTGATAATTATTTTCTACTTTAAATAGAAATCAGCAAATTTAGCAGATTTATGAAAATTAATGGATAATTGCAGATTTTAAAAAAACTATATATTTCATATATCTATCAATCATATTAAATCTATTTTTTTAAGGTTTATTAATATTTTTAATACTTTTTTTGTATTAATTTTGAAAAATTTTTTATAAAAAAATAAGTAGATTTTAAAAAATAAAGTAAAAAATTGTATTGAAATGATAATTGTCAGGATTATTAAAATATTACAGTTTTAGGATGAACAGCTAGCACATTTTATTGCAAGAGATCATTATATGCATATTGATACCCAAAAAGACTACGCAGTATAAAATGTAGCATAACATAAAGATCAGTTATGTACAATAAATGATCATTACAGATCTTACTAAAATTATTTGTGAAGAGAAAGATAATCAATAATATAATGTGTGATGAGGATGGAAAAAAAATACTGCATAATAGTTAGATAATGATTATGTAATTATGATTCAACTATGATATTACGCAAGGATGAAGTAATGATAATGCAAGAGATAAAAGGAGATAGAAAGATTGAGAGGGTGATTATTAAGCAGAGAACATTTTAAACTTATTATATAATAATTAGGTAGTAATTATTAAAATAAAGTATTAAATATTATAAAATAAAGCAATTATTACGTAGTTATTGTATAATAGTTCTTAATCATAATTTTAGTATAAATAGTCTTAAAATTTTATTATATAATTATGACTTTAGTCTGATGATTAAGAGTCTTGCTTAAACTATACATATTCTTTATTCAAATAAAATTCTTTTAAAAACATAATGTATAAGCTTTTCTATAAAGTGCAAATAAATTTCATTGTAAAACCTAAGGTTCCTCAAAATCAAATTGAATAAAATATTTAAGCAATTTGAATTTGATTTGATTTTTTCAAATTGAATTGAATTGAATTGAATTGAACTCAAATATTTAATTAAATCAATTTGAATCAATTTGAATTTAATCAAATCAAATCAAATTAAATCAAATATTTGTCAAATTAAATGAAATCAAATTAAATATTTGATTGAATCAAATCAAATCAAATCATATCGATATAATAAATTTTTTAATTTTTATAATAATATATTAAAATAAAGTTATTATAAAGTTTTAATTAAAAAAATTATTAGTAATTGTACTAAAAAATTTCAAAGATAGCTTTTACAAAGTAAGTTTAGTAATAAGTGAATTTTTACTATTAAACTTAATAAAATAACTTTGCAGGCTTAGTTTTACTAAGAAACTTAGTAATAACAACCATCACAGTTTCAGTTTACTAAGAAAACTTAGTAATACTCACTATCACAGCTTGGTTTACTAAGAAAACTTAGTAATAATTGCTATTGTGACTTTAGTTTTATTAAGAAAACTTAATAATAATCCTATTGCAACTTCAGTTTTACTAAGAAAACTTAGTAATAACCGTCATCGCATCTTCAGTTTTATTAAGAAAACTTAGTAATAATTACTATCTCAGCTTCATAACCATTTTATTTAACTATTTTATTAGTATAAAACATTTCAAAAATTGCAGACGTATTTTTTATTAGGTTTCTTAGTAAAAAATGTTTCCAAAGCTACAGAGGCATTTTTTACTATATTTTCTTAGTAAAATAATATCTTTGAAGCTGTGAAGGTATTTTTTACTATTATTTTCTTAGTAAAAAGGCATTTCTAAGATTGTGAAAACGTTTTTTGCTATAATTTTCCTAGTAAAAAAGGTATTTTTAAAGCTGCAGAGACGCTTTTTACTATGGATTTTTAGTAAGAGTCACTCCTGAAACTTTAAAAATGGCTTTACTATTGATTCAAATCAAATTAAATATTTGAATACTTGATTTGAATTTAATCGAATTGAATCAAACATTAATCAATTTGATCAAATAAATCATTCTTTGATTTGAATTTGATTGAATCAAATCAAATATAAATTTGAATTTATAATTGATTTAATTTTCAAACCAAATATTTAAATATCAAATTGAATTGTTAAACTCTAATAAAACCTTTTGAATGAAAATATCTTCTAAGGTTTCAAATATTAAAACTCAGAAATCAGAGTTGTTTAATCTTCATATTGATCAATTC